CGCCGCCACCGCCGCCGCTGCGCCGTGCGGTCGTGACAAGTCACCGCGAACTTGCCCTCTGCGTCGTTCCAGGCCACAAGGAAGCGCAGCCGGTGCCGCTCGGGCTCGGCAAAGAGGTCCTCGCGGACCGGCACCCAGCCCTCCAAGCTGTCGGGCTGCTCGTCCTCCATTGTCGCCGGCGGTCAGCGGCCCGAGGGCTCGGTTCTTCCGGGCCTGGCCTCTTCGCACCCCCAGCCACAGGACCGTCCGAACCGACACATTCTTCCCTAGAATCTAATTCGCGTCAGCGCCCGACCATTTCACCCCCCGGCACTTTTGATTGGCTGCCTGCGGGCTGTGAGGCTTCCAGAGACGGCCGGGATTGGTTGGGTGATAGAAGGGCGGGACCGCGACAACCATGAAGAAGTCAAAAAGGCCTACCGCCGACCCGACCTTGGGAGGCAATCATCTCGCAACATGACCTGAAGTCCGGGAATTACCACTCTTGCCTCACCTTTTTCGCCTTTGTACATACTGACATTGGAAAAAATGTGTTAAATGGATGTTACTGTCTCAGCTTCCTACACTAAAATGTGAACTGTGAGAACAGGGACCCAGTTGATTCTGGTTTTATCAGGGCCCTGTTGAATGCATGATCCCTGCCCTCAATAATGTCACAAAGGGAGATCACACATTAAATTAAACTCAGTAGGTATTTGTCGAGGGCCTCTAAGTGCCAAGCACTGGGTGGAAACATTTATTCTAGTCAATTCAACAAGCTTTTATTGAGTGCCTGCTATGTGCCAGTATGGGGAGGGGGTGCGGGGAGGAGGACAGAGAGGGAATACAAAAAGATGTACCTGCCTTCAAAGCACCCCGGCTCTCAGTCAGCGTGTTTAAATGCAACCTATGGTCTCATTCTTCATTTTAGAGATAAGGAAACTGAGACCAGGAAAAGAACCTTACCTTAAGATATACAGACAGTCAGGCTAAACAGGACCAGCTGGCTACCGAAGACTTGTTTAAGGAAGAGTGTAGGATGGAGCTGGAGTTCTTGCAGCAAGAAGCAAGACAGTCAGTCTCTGCCTAGGAAATGTACAGTGTAGGCTGAGAAGTACAGTACCTGTCAGTCCCCATCCTCTGAGTACACTGAGAGATGTTGTGGAGGTGGAAGGGAGGGAAGGTGGAAGGGAGGGAGATGCCCAGAGAACCAAGATCGGGAGCCCTTTTCCAAAACAAGGCACAAGGAATCTCTACTCAGGAACAAATGAAAGAGGGTGTGAAGGTTTTGAGCTGGGAAAGCCTGGAATCAGGCTTGTACGTCCTGTTATCCCCAAGGTTAAACAACAGCAAAACAACAAACAATTGCAAAAACCAGGGCTAGGCTGAAGCTGTGGTTAGGGAATCTTTCTGTCCTGAAGATAATCTCAAGATGTCTATGAACCTCTGTGGAATGCAACTTGGAGGTTTAAAGCTGCCTCTGTCTGAAAGTTCCTCCCCTTTAATGCGGGGTGGGGGGCTATGGGCGCACAGACTCAGTACAACAGCTCTCACAGTCTCCCAGTCCTCTTGGGGAGATAACCTTTTTAGCTGAAGTGATTTCTTTTTCCCCAATCTATTTTTTAAATATATTATTTATAGCTAGTATGATTTACTTATAATTTTTTTTTTTTTGTCTTTTTGTCTTTTTTCGTGACCGGCAACGGATCGCAACCCTCAGTGTTGCCCCCACTCCTCGCTCAGCCAGTGAGCGGCCGGTGGAGCGCCACCGCGCTTCCCAAGCGGTGCACTGTAGCAGTGCGCCACCGGGCAGGCCCAATTTTTAATAGTCCATTTTAAATATCTTTTTTGTATATTCTTCACCATATGTCTTTTTACTATATTTGTTTAATACTATTTTATCCTTTCTAGGAGTCTTCTAATGTATTTGGTTTTTCAGGATGAAACTCAGTCTGATTATAAAAGTGATTTCTATTTTGTGTGTGAGAGAGGGGGATAATTTGTGTATTCTCAGAAAACAAATATGGAAAAATACACGCTAATCCTAATAGTGCTGATTCCAAAAGAGAGGGTCTGGGAAGGTTGGTTAGCCAACCTCAACCCACCCTGTCATCTACCAGGTTCTTGACTCTGCCAGAGGAAAGAGCAGAGTCACAGTAGAAAATGAAAACAGGTTTAATGTAAAAAATAAGAAATACAGACTTCACAGGGAAAGTGCAGCCTATCTCCAGTCATGCATCCTGGTAATACCACTGAGACAGGAGGTGCAAACAGCCACAGCAAGTCTAACACTAAAGTAAGAAATTCACACTTTACAGATTAAATGCAGATTGCTTCCAGAGTGAAGAGCAGCCTGCTAAAGACAAGTTTAACACAAAAAGTAAGATATACACACGCCTCACAGACGGAGTGTGGGCTGGCCCCAGAGAGCGAGCAGCAGCCCCGCCTTCTTCCTGGATTCAAATTGTATAGCTTGGCTCTCTATGCATATTCATGCTATCTAATGAGTGCCCAACTAAGGGGGCGGTTCCCAGTCATGTAACAGGTTACTTAACAGTTTCGTGCATGCTCAGTTGGTCTCCTTTAGAGCATGCTCGTTGGTCAAATTCCACCACATGCACCAAATATATTTAGAATATTCTAGATGCTCTCTAGTGCCTCTAGTGGGAGATAATTCAAGGAATAAACTCCTTTTTACTAAGCATGCTTGATCACCAAGATTACACAAGTCTGACTCCTGTGGTCTCAATCTCCACATGCTGGTACTGAAAATAGGTGCCACAAGCAACAGATGCTCAGGACTCAGAGGAGAAGCTTGAGTCCTAGGAGAGTGGTTTGAGACCTAGGGGAGTGGAATGAAACCCAGCCCCAGGGGAACTGAGCACCTCCTATCTCAGTGGTGTTACCGGGATGCATGACTGGTTTATATTTACTTTATGTGTTCTTTTGTAGTATTTGCATTTTTCTAAGCCAAATAGCATATATTACTATTATAGTAAAAAGTAATTTTTTATTAATTAATTTTATTTATTGAATCAAAATTGATTATACATATTTTTGAGGTTCAACATTGAGATATATTGATCAAATCAATATTACTAGCATATATATTGTTACAAATCATAATTATTCTTTATGCCCCTTGTCCAATCTCTCCCTATCCCCCTCTCACTCCCCCCTCCCCCATCTAATTACCCTAGATTTCTTCTCTCCTTCTGAAAGAATAATGGTTACTCTATTGATTTGTTGCCTAGATGATGTGACCAATGCTGAGAGGTGTGATCAGGTCCCCCAATATTATCATAGAGAAGATGCTTCTTCTGTCACTCTGAAATGGGCTTTGTGGAGAGAGACATCCTCTTCTTTTCTCTACCTCTGCTGGTGACTCTCCTAGTGTCAATGCATTCCAGTGTTTGGCAGACCATGTGCATGGTGGTTGTGGCATCTAGCCGCTTTCAAGGCAGCCATGGTTATTGTTGTGGCTGTGGTGGGCCACCCACATGGAGGTGATGTTTTTGGCATGTTACTTGGTGCTGGTGGTGTGCCTGGCTGTAGGGTGTGTCTGGTCCCCAGATCCATGCCTCGGATCACTGGGTGGGCCACAAGGCACTGGCACAGTGTGCCTGGTTGTGGAAGGGGGGTCCGGTTCCCTTTTCCATGCCCCGGGCCCCCAGGCAGAGCCACAAGGCACTGGTGTGGTGCGCCTGGTTGTGGGAGGGGGGTACAGTTACCTTCTCAATGCCTTGGGTCTCTGGGCAGACCCCAAGGCGCTGGTGGTGTGCCTGGATGTGGGAGTGGGGTCTGGTCAGCTTCTCAATTTCTTAGGTCTCCGGGCAGGTCCCAGGGCACTGGCACAGTGTGCCTGGTTGTGGGATGGGGGTCCAGTCCCCCTGTCCGTGCCTTGGGTCCTCAGTGAGGCCCCGAGTTGCTCGTGCAGTATGCCTGGATGTGGGAGGGGTGTCCAGTCACCTTCTCAATGCCTCGGGTCTCTGGGCATGCCCCAAGGCATTGGTGCAGTGTGCCTCGTTGTGGGAGGGAGATCTGGTCCCCTTCTCCAAGCCTTGCATCCCGAGGTGCTTGCATGGTGTGTCTGGTTGTGGGAGTGGGGTCCGGTCCTTGGCTCCAAGCCTCCAGTTTGCAGGCAGGCCCCAAGGTGCTGGTGGTGTGCCTAGGCCAGAAATAATTTTTTGTCCTTTGCTTACTTCTAGAATGGGGGAACTTCCTGTGAGAACCAGTACTTGAGCTGTGTGGTTGAGCTAAGTTGCTGCTTTGCTGCTGTTTCCCTAGTGAAGGCTTTTTGTGCAGCTCAGGGTTTAATGGTCAACATTATAGGTACTTCCGGCTCTCCAGATACTTGGTGCACCTGGGTTTTGTAGAAACTCTGATCTGGGCCTGAGTTTTTTCATCGAACTGCATCCCATGCAATTCTGCATTCCTGACCAGTCTCTTCTGAGTGGTCCTGCGCTGATTGGGGGGCGGATCAGCTGTCCTTGCTGTGTCCTAGTGTTCTCCCGGTGGGCCCGTCTTCCCCACTGCCCGTGCTCCAAACATTTCCCATGGGACGGGCTCTGTGCCAGTCCCTTGCAATGACTCACCGCCCTCTAAATGGCTCCCTTTTTTTTTTTTTTTGTCTTTTTTCCGTGTCCGGCAACGGATCGCAACCCTCAGTGTTGCCCCCGTACCGGACCGGGGACCGGCAACGGGATCGCAAGCCTCGGCGTTGCTCCCGCGCCTCGCTCAGCCAGTGAGCGGGAGCCGGTCTGTATGTGGGATCCGAACCCTCGGACGGGAGCGCCGCCGCGCTTCCCAAGTGGCGCACTATCCAGTGCACCACCGGGCCGGCCCAATGGCTCCCTTTTTTTTTTTTTTTTTGTCTTTTTTCCGTGTCCGGCAACGGATCGCAACCCTCAGTGTTGCCCCCGTACCGGACCGGGGACCGGCAACGGGATCGCAAGCCTCGGCGTTGCTCCCGCGCCTCGCTCAGCCAGTGAGCGGGAGCCGGTCTGTATGTGGGATCCGAACCCTCGGACGGGAGCGCCGCCGCGCTTCCCAAGTGGCGCACTATCCAGTGCACCACCGGGCCGGCCCAATGGCTCCCTTTTTTCAGTTGTTGTGGCTCCTCGCTCCTGTGTGGGTCCATGGGAACCCTATTAGTGGTCTTGCTGACCTGGGGGCTGCCAAGACCCTCTTC